TAGGAATATATGTACTACTTTACATATAGGAGCATATATAAATGTATTTACCAGGCACTTTATATGGCTATCCTATCAGACATAGACCCTCTGACGATAGCATAAATAGCACACTCTGCTCATATTTTGTTCTGTATCCCAGCATCCCATGATCAACCGACACAGTACCAAAGACTCTACAATGTTCTGCGCCGCGCCAAAGACTGTGTATATTTATTTTTAGATTCGTGGACCGACTCAGCTGAGCAAATAATTGAACAAGTAGGAAGCAGAGCAAACTTTCATCTATCAAGAGATCAGCAATAAGATTGCAGGCCTCTGATGAATCTGAAAACAAAGAGAGTGGCTAACCAGAAGTAAGACCTTCCACAAAAAACTAACGTCGAATCCATTGACTCAAATCTACTGACATTTTTCAGGAGTCTTAGCGCGAGTAATTTCCGCAAATAAATAGGGAAAAGCATCAATATGTTATGCCCAATTGTGCAACAAACAAACATTGTTTGGATAATTTCAACATAAAACATTGCCGCAATTGAAATTGTAGATTGTAGCGCATGGTGACAATTGCCTGATGCAAATGCAAATTGCAACACCCATGGAGGAGCCACACACGCAGTGAAATTTGAAGTTCGCATATTTTTGGTTTGGGAGTAAAACCGCAAATTGCTATTAACGAAAATCTAATCATAACCGGAAATTAATTTGACAGGAATCTCATTAAATTTACAACCCAACCGAGCCACTCCACTCGACACAGGAGGACATCATGCGGCCACAGCTGCCGACGAGGAGGCAGGATAGAGAGGGAGACAGGGAGGGATGCCAAACCCAATCCGCATCCACCGCATTTCTATTCAAACCAAAATCCAAACTCCCCAATCCCCCCCCTCCATCCGCAAATCGTTTAAAGCTGCATTGCGTTGACATTGCAACAGCCACCTGAGTATTTGAGTAATGTACAGGATTTTCATTATAATATACAATTATTTCAGTTTGCCAGGCCATATGAGTGATGCGTTGATGCTTGGGTGTAGGTTCGTTCATACGATGATTGGATATCACAAAAACTAAAAAGGAGATCATCTAAAATCTACTTAATTGAATGATTTTATCCGAATGTATTGTATCCCCTAATGGAATGGAAAATGGAACCCATTTATATCCGATTTCTGAAAAGAATGGCACCCTGCTTTGGAATCAGGCCTGAACTTATCTTATTCTAAAATCCAAATCCCTTTGTTGCGATATCTTATCCGCCATAAACGCCCTTTTTCCCCATATTTTCTGTTGTTGTTGCAATCTCCTGGTTGTGCTGACTATGAGCAACTGCCTCTGCTGCCTCTGCTGCCGATGCTGATGCTGCTACTGCCTCCGACTCCTCCTGTGCCTCCGTCGGTGCCAGTCGGCTGTAATTTATTTCTGATTTTGGGGCTTGCGCCATGCGTGGCTGAGCATTAGAGGCGCTTGCACATTTTGCCAGCACATAAATTAACATAAAGAGGCGGCAAACTGGGAGGCATGCCTCCAGGGAGGCCTTGCAGCGATTACGTGACATTGAACCAGAGCCAAAGTGGCTCTGATGCTGCTGCAGCAGTTCTCAATCACGGTGAGAGCGGGCTGAGTCATCCACCTAATTGGATAAACCCTTCGTGACAGCTGACAATTGCAGGGACAATAGAGAGGGAGACATGTCCAAAGTCTAGACAGATGTCTATACGTATAATAACGATTCCGTATTTCATTGTTGATCGAAAAAACAGTAAAGAATAAATTGATTAATTAATTTCTTTGTTGGGAAGATATACCATTATATCATTGGTGAGGAAAGTCCAACACATTATGTATTTGTGCTGAATAGTGGGTATCTTATAGTCGAAATTATAGTTGTCTAACTATGGCACACACCTCGACTAATGGCGTTGTTAGGAAAATTGTTTTCCTCTTAAGATTTAACTTATGATTGTTTTATCATTATGGAAGCTTAAGTGCCTATAATTTACGAGTATGTACACGAGTATATGCATATGCACATAGTCCCCACGAATGGACACTCAGATCTCGGAGACTATCTGGGTTAAATCAGATATCATCTGGGAATTTGGCTGCACCGATCCAAAAAAAAATGATGATTCACTTTACAAAATATGAGAAAAATATTCCCCTACTTTATGCAATTTTGGTATACGGTATACGGCTACGGTACTTAAAAACTGTCACAGGTATCCCCACCCTCCATTACAGCTGTTTTTTTTTCCTCTTCCACTCAGAGTCACGTTACAGCGTTACAGCGTTTGAACTTTTTGTGTAGATTTGTGTAGAATTTCATGGCAAGTGATTAATCATTGAGCTACTAGCAAAACAGTTGCAACAACAACGAGAGAAACGACAGCCGCAACAACCGAGAAAACAACTACGGCTGTCATGTAAAATGTACAAAACAGTGCGTTTCAAAACCGTAAAACAGCCGAAAGTTCAAATAAGAGACTGGCATAGTATGGTATACTCCACTCTTACAGTTTTCAAACGCACCTTACTAGCAGATATTTACTTAATTTTTTTTACATTTTGCTAACCATACAATTGAATTATTCATTCTAATTTAGTTTGTTTTTGTTGTGGCATGCTGATATTTACTTAATTTTCTGGAAATGTATACATTTGTTTTTGTGTAAAACCCTGTCAGGTGACAAGGACAAGGCGGAGACGAGGCGAGACTGCTGCTCGATATAATCAAGCAATTAAAGCTTAAAGTTCAAAATGCAGAAAACAATTTCATTTAATTTGAATAGGCTGCTCTGCTCGGCTTTGCCTGCTGTTGTTTATTCAATTTGGAATTGTTTAATTTTTGTTGATTTGTCCCAACGCCTAGCCCCGCCCCGAAGTGACCGCAAGAGAGTCCAAAAATCAAAGGCAACAAAAATGTTCGGCTTAAATCAACTTAATTCGAAGTTCAACATTTTATTTAGTCTTACAGGAAGTGTCTGAGTCTATGTTTTGTATTTGAACAACTTGTTCATTTCACTGGCTTTTGGGTCTAAAAACAAACTATAGACAATTCTTCTGATATAAATGTTTCATATTTAAACCTTTATTCAATTGCAGCTTTCTTTTTTTTACTGCAAATAATTTCCATAATTCTCTAAGCCCCTATAAATTATTTCCACTCTATTGATTTAGGCCCAAACAATATTAAAATTATATTTTAGCTAAACCACCCATGGGAACGGACTTACGCAATGCTAATTAGCTGGCGACTCATCAAACAATTCGACACAAAACATTTGAATAGGGCTACGAAAAAATTAACTCCAATTTGCATAAATAAATATCTGTCGGAATTAAACAAATTGCCAAGCAATTCAGCAAATGTCAACCGTATAAAATATATATAATAATTCACCAATAATATAATTATACCTATTTAGGGCTTTATTACAGACGACACCACGCATAGTTGCACATACTCGAGTGAACAGTAATAAAATGCAGAAAAAAATGTGATTTATGGCCCGCATGCAACTGCAATTTGTACAGAGAACAGAGAACATTCCGTGAAAAGGCCTTAAAAGCGAATTATGGCCATAATTAACCCAATTCTTTTGGCCATGGTACAGTGACACCACATCGTCCACATACATGGCACTCGTAAAAACAAAATTAAGAGAACCACAAGACAAGAAGAAAAGAAAAATGCCCAAGAATTTCAGTGGCCAGAAAGTGGAGGAGCTTGAGTGAAGAATATTGTACGTGGGTTCATTCAACTGTGGGTCTGAAATGTGGGATGGGTGAGACCTTCAGATGGCAAAGACATGTCTCGAAAGATCTCAGATTTATAATAGTTTAAGGACCTCAAAGATTTCTCTAAAATTTCTGTGATGTATCCATATTTTCCATTCAATCAGGTCTCTTCTTCCGGCATGGCAGATTGCCTTAAAAAATTAATTCAAAGAACTATTTTTAGAATAAGTAAAAGATGTGTAATTGAGAGATTTATCATCAAGCAAAAACCCATTAAATAAGGCAGCTCTTCAACTACAAACACCTCTAATTGAAAGCAAATCAGCTCAAGCTTGTATCTGGAACAAACCTTTCTGAATATCGGGACTTATTGCATGAAAATTTCATATTTCATGCAAATGATTTTGACTGCAGCACCAAATTTGACAACTTCAAGTGGCTGTGGCAGCTGTGCCAAAACCCAACCCATCTCTGGCCTCATCATCTGCGATTCACTGGCAGCACAGCTTCTTCAGCAATTTATGCATTCAAGTGGCAGCCAAAGGCAGCAGCCAGCAGCCAGCAAACGCTGATGATGACAATAAGGACGCAACTCCCTGGATCCATCCCCGGACTCCACTCCGTGATTCTGATTCTGAGAGTCTCTGATATTTTGCCCGTTGTTGTTACTTCTGTATCTGTATCTGTATCTGTAAGATGCATTTGGCTGATTGTCAAGTGTCTCGTTTTGTTATCAAGACGCTGGCATCATTATCCAGGAAACAGGAATGTTTCAACGAGTTAAAGCTGTTACTTAACCGGTACCTTAAAGCACAGTTTGAATTCAATTTTGGGTAAAAAAGTGTCTTCGATTCTCTGATAAAAAGAAGAGGTTGTTCCCTGTACCAATAATACGAAAAATTAGACTAGGATTGTCCTTAGGGCTAAGTGTTCTGTGAGAAATACATAGCCCTAGCTTATCAGAAAAAGCAATCTGTGCAATTTCTTAATTAATTTCTTAATCAGCGAAAAGTATTGTTTCATTTAAGATTGTTCTAGACAGTTCCAGATTGCAAGAGAATATTTATTTAAAGACATATATAATTTCTAGGTTTTCCCCCTCACTCCTTATCAATTTTCATTATTAATGAGTTCAAAAGGTTGCCTTCTCCCTGTTTTCTTAATAAGTATATAAATTTTAATGATGATTTGCAATGTGTGTGTTTGTACACTAAAACCTGATTTGCGCCGATTGATTGATTTATGGGGTTATAACTCACCTGGCAAAGTCAAGACTCCGCTTAGGGCCAGAGCGATCAATAGAGCACTGAGCAGCAGCTTCATATTTTTTATTTCAATTTTTCACACGCTTTTAAAGCCTTATTTTAGTTTTTGTTGTTTCAGAACTTGGTATATGTTTATATTTATTTAGGGCACAGTTTTTGTTCCGATGTCTGTTGTATATTTTCTGCGTTTCGCCGGTTAACTAGTCGGCTCTGTTCTGTTCGGTTCGGTTTCGGTTCTGTATGGAAAGGCAAACAATTCTCAAATGCGCTTAAATGATTTGAGGAAACGGCAAATAAACGGCAAACGAAACCGAATGAGAGGGCGTGAGGGAGAGCGATTGAGTGAGTGGCTAGCCTGACGCTGACGTTGACGCTGACCGCTCGCTTGCTCTCACACTCTCCCTCTCAATGAATATGGCTCTCCCTTCGACTAAATTAAACGGTACGTTCCTGACTGCATGACACTTACTTATTCTTCTACTCGCTGGCAGGAATATTTATCTTTTAAATATACATACTTATATGGAAGTATTATGTGAATAGAAGCTGACAATCGCTCGTATATTGATACATTAATCATATACTCCTCAGTTGAAAATTTATTTTCTAAAAGCTACACTTTACACTCAACATTTGGGTAGTAATATTAGCTGTTATTGAATAATAAATTTCTCATGAAAGATATGTACATATATTCATATATATAAAATTTCCAAAGTTTTTTTAACCCTTTAAAATTCATATGCATAATTTCTAACTTGAAAATCCTCCTCCTATTAAGTGACTGTCATACCGGCTTACATGCATTCGAATGGTCAGCAAGTGCTGTGGGAACGAAAATGGGGACTTCTCTGTTTTTTGCGGTGTGCAATATTTTGGTCCAGCACTGTGCCTGCATGCGACGTATGAGTAATTTTTTGTTGTTGTTGCGGCTAATCAGTTTTTGTCTATGCTTCGTTAACTGCACGCTCATTCTGCCTCTGTCTGTCCCAGTCTGTGCCCATGTCCCTGTCCCTGTCATTCATGCTACTCGTACAATATGTTTTCTATTCTCATTCGTATTTTGATTTGACTTCAATCGCCGCACTGGCTGGAAATTATTTCGATTTGTTGAATGGCTAAATCACCTGTTGGCCGAGCTTCGTATAGAGTTCAAGGTTAACGATTGTGTAACTTATTTGCTTATTCACCCATAGAGTGTCAAAGCTTGTATGACACTCACATAATGGTGTAATACAAATTTCAATTGGTGAAATATATAAATACTTATTAAATCTTTCCATAATAAATGGGTAAATAAGATAGAAATGGTGATTTACTAAGAATCCCCGGCAACGAAATTGTGTACGAAATTTTCTTAGTAAAAATCTCCCGTTCCTGGTTTCCAAACCTATTACAATATATTACCAACTGAAAACAGAGCTTGAAGCTAAACAGAGGGCTCTTCTCTATAATTAAATGCTTTTGATAAAGCTCTTCTTGTTAATTCCATAATCACAACAGTCACGCCTTCAGTTGAAGCCGATTCAATCCAGTCACGACTACTGCGCTGGCGTTAATAACAAAGGTCACCGTTTTCTTTGGAAATTGTTAGAGCAGTTCCAATACCGGATGATCTTTCTGTTTGAACTGTTAACATTCTTATTTATTTTGAATATGGAATTTATTCGAATTTTTAATACTTTATTGGACTACAATATTAGAATATTTAGACTGTGTTTTTTTCTCAATTTATTTTTTATCGTAAATATTTTATTGGACATTATATTATATGTAATATTCATTTTACAGTACTCCTAAATAATTTCATTTACTTTTTAAACACAAGAATAAAAACTGTTCAAGATATATAGAAATTCATATTATATTTGGTATATTAAGCAATTTTTTAATTTTTCTTTAGTTTTATTTTGTTTATAGGTATCTTTTTTCTTATATTCTTTATTTAAGATCTGTACAAAGATTTGACAACCATTAAATTTTTTGTTTGGACTTTGTCGTTTTTTTTATTGTAAACACTTTTTTATCGCAATATAAACTTTATGGCACACGTGTTAGGGGGCACAATACAAGTTTTCGCACAGCTAAATTCAATTTCGCAAACAATTTCTAGCAAATTTTCTAATAGATTGTTTATAAACAATTTTTTTCGGCGCCGAAACGGAAATCACACAGACACAAACAATCTCTTGTATTCACATACCGACTCGAAAATTTGCATAAACTTTTGTTTTTGCTGTTGCTTCGGTCGTCATACAGTTATTTCTGTAGGTTGCTGGCAGAACTCAAAGTGGGACTCGTTTTTGGGGGGAACACTCGCGATCTTCGCCGTGCGCCGGCTCTTGTGAGAGTTGATTTCGGACTAAACGAATGCGTACGGATTTGGCTTCATTTATACCAACGCACACGCAGTCCGCACATAAAGAGAGCGATGAGAAAGGCAGGCAGTGCGAGATCGGAGAAGTCTTCTCAAAGAATGGCCAACAAATATGATCAACTGCGGGATGCCTGAAAATGGATGGGCAGCTAAGGCAGACATACAAATTAAACTCCTAAAAATGCAGGGAAGTACGCTGTATTACGAATTGTGCTCTGAAAGTAAGAGTTGAAAGGCGTTATACAAGATTTCAATCCTATAAGAAAACATAAAAATTGCTCTCCACTAAACCCCGTATACCCCATTCCGCTTAGGGTACTTGGAATAACAGAAAATGAATAAAAATGCGTTGAATGCATTGACACGTCAGTGGCAGCAAAAGTGAATGTCGTCGGAGAGGGACATGGACTGTGGGTCATCCCTTGACCAAACAAGCAAAATCACAAATTCAAAGCAGCGCGCCGACCAAGACTACGACAAGGAACGCGCGCCAAGCTACGTTCCTGGAGTGACAATGAACACTTCAGATCCGCTCCAAGGCAGTGGTCTCCCACCTCCACCTCCACCTCCACCTTACCCCGATCTCTTTTTATAGATCTTTTCCAGATTGGGATCTTGTTCGGTACAGCTGTTGCTCCTCCTCCTCTACCTTCTAGAACTTGTAATTCTTGTCGCAGACCGCGAACCGGATTCTCTTTTAACTGCACTTTCGGTTGTTGTTTTTTGTTTCGTATCAACTGGTTCGATGCATCTTGCCTTTAAGTGAAAAAAAGCATTTAAAATTAATTACCATTTTTGTACAAATTGTTAAAACGACATTTTTGTGGTTTGTGATTTCTGGCTGGACAAAAAATCCCCAAAACAAGATTTTTGGTCTGCCAACATTGACAAATTGTTGTCAAGGCTTTTGAATGACAAGAAATTGAGTAAGTTGTCTTTTTGGTAACTATTGGAAAAAATCTCTGGTGTCAGGGCCTGACGCTGTCCGTCGACCAACCGCCCACAATTTATGATAAGTACGATATGATGCTCTTGACCTTGAAACTGATGTGCGGGAAATGAGAGCAGACTACGTGAGAAAAGCAAGATTTTACTCTCCAAATACAATAAAATATTTATAGATTTAAAAATTTCTTACAAAACAGACGATTTTATTTGTTTACAGCTGTAGGCTAGCGACATCTTTTCTTTGCTTAAAATATAAATATGGCTATCGTCGGTAATAAGCCACATTTTTGTGGTTTTTTCCCCATTCCTTTATAATTTTATCACATTACTTCCCCATTACTCGATAATTCTCCATTCTCCCATGAATTAATCAATTTTATATAAGATATAGTTTTATTGCATTGTTTTTTACAAATTATTTAAACAAAAACGGTTTCCAAATTTAAAAATTGGATAACAACACATACACGAAATCGCAAAGGAGACACCTGCCGACGAAACGGTGAACTGTGAGATCTGACGCCCCCTGCTGACCAAATTGTGGAAACTATTAGATGGTCACACTAACAATTGTCCAGCCCTGCGTTGCTTGACGACGGTTTTGTTTTGATTTTTCTGTCAAAAAAAATAAATAACAAAAAAACACTTAATAAAGAAGATTTAATCTCAAAACGATATCAGGATGTTTCGCCGTGGCAAATTGTCGTTTCTAAACACCAAAGACGACCGCATTAAGATTATAAATGAGCGCATAACGCTGACCGAACGCCACTTAATGGAAATGTGTTCGGCATTCGCTTTGGTAACAAGGAAAATGGCCAAGTGAGCGGAATAAGTAAAACAAGAATTGGATGGGCATGTTTACAAGATCTCCTTTTAATGACAGATACCGAGACTCGTTCGATGAGCTGGCAAAGGGCGTCAAGGGCTATGCAGATGAAGAGGAAATCAACGAAAGCCTCTCGACTGGTCTAAAGAGCTTCACAAATGCAGTCACAATAATGGGCGACTACATGGACATTAATGTACATCGTCTGGAGCATAAAGTAATCCATGCTGAGGAGCATATTTCCAACCCTAAACATTTCTCCATCCTACACGCAGATTGTCAATGAGATGACTTCATTTGAGCAGCTCTGCAAGTCCACGCGCGACAATCTCCGACTGGCGGTCATTGCCCGCGACAAAGAGGTGTTGCGCCAACGCCAGATGCTGGAGATCAAGTCAAAGTTTGCGGCCAATAATGTGAGTAGATCTACCCTTTGTAAACAGCCCCATCATTGCATTGATCCCAACAGAGTGCTGCCGACTCAGAACTTTTCAAGGCCAAGATGGAAGTGGCGCGTACGAACAAAGAGATTGACGAGATAATCGGCAACTTTGAGCAGCGCAAGCTACGGGAACTCAAGCAGATACTCAACGACTTCATTCTCATCTCCATGAAGCAGCACACCAAGGCCCTGGAAGTGCTCAGCGCCAGTTACTATGACATTAGCAGCATTGATGAGCGCGACGACTTTCTCGAATTCCAGAAGCTAATGAAAACCAAAGAGGAGCCTGCCCAGCGCAAGGGGACATTGAAGAAGGGTCTGCGCTCGCAGTCAATGGACAGCCTGGATCACGAGCAGTTGGTCAGTCCACTGAAGCGGCATCAGAAGCTGTCCAGAAGCAGTAAGAATTTGGCTGGAGCGGGCATACCCCATGGCAACAAGCTAGAGCTGGAGCAGGAAGAGGCAGAGACTGATGGACACGAAGACCAGGAGGCCGACGACGACAATGAGGAGGTGGTGCAGTCTTTATTGTGATTTTTGTGTTAATTTTTAAACGAAAATACTCTCACCCAATGCTCTAGGGGACTGAACAAAGTGGGGATGACGACGATGAAGATGAAGAGTCCGGCACGGCCTCGGATGATGAGCGTGAGCCAGCCGAAGCCACCACGCCCACTCTACGAGATAATGTGTTCGGTGTGAAGGCAAGAACCATCAGCAAAGAGGCAGCAAATCCAGTGGCGGCTCCACTGAAACCCATCCGCACGATTGTTAAACATCCCTTCAAGGCGGTGGCTTCGACGCATGTAAGACTGCAGAAGCAATTCCAAGTGCCACAGCACTAGCACCTACCCTATCACTAGATCTAGAACAAGTCATTTGCATACGCTAGTCATGGCCACATGGCCCATTATCTCTGCATTATTTACTCCAAATAAACAAAGAATAGAATAAATATATGCACCGAACTAATCAAGTGGAAACGCCTCTCCCACCTCCCCCTACCTTTCAAGCAGGTGAAGAGACGGCGACCAGGACGCGGCTCGACCGGAAGAAGCGCCGCCGGTCGCCTGGTAACCGTTGTTAAATCGAAGTCCTCCTCCACCACACAGCCCCCCGTTTGAGAAGCCCGATCGATCGGGAGGGGGATTACAATTCGTGAATTTTAATAATGTATAATTTAAAATAGAAACTAAATGGCAATAGCTCTGAAACATGCCCGTTGCTCGCAAAGTCTACAATTACTTTACTTAAATTATGATCTTCCTGGTGGAGCGAACTTAAAACTATGCAATAAATTTGAATGAGCAAATCTTTGAGAGCAATTGTGTGTGTGGATGGGATGGGTGCAGTGGGGGATTAAATGAATGTGAGAGTCTGGAATTGTAAATTTGATTTGAGTGCTTGGTTTGTGGCGACAATGGTGTTCGATGTATTTGATTAGGGCGTGGCTGGTGAAGGGGCGGGCGGCCGTGGCCACGCCTAGCTTTGGTCGTCTCATTTCTCCGGTATCTGGCCCTCGATCCCAGCCTGGTTCATCAGGTCCGCGATGCTCTTCTCCAGATCATCGATGCGGTTGCCCATGTCATCGATACGTGTGATTATCTGATCAGACATGGTCTGGAACTTGTCCTGCACGTTCTGCAACAGATTTTGTACCTGATAAAAGGGGGAGCGATCATTTACTGGGTGCTGTTCTGCCATGCTATTGTCAACGCTACGTGATTGGGCTACGATTACTCACGTATATGGTCAGCTCCTGCATATTCTTGGGGTCCATCGCAGCATTGCTGTTGAGCGAGTAGTTCTGGTCCAGGTCGCTGTCCATTTCGTTGCGCAGTTCGGTCATCTTGGCACTCTGCTGGCTGTTGTCTTGTGTGTTGTATAAAAGTAGAAAAACCTTATCGCGGGGGTGCTGCTGCTGCTGCTGCTGGTAGCGGTGGCGCCTGCTTAACTTGCAAATTTATTTTTTTCTTTATCAATGACAAAAACGAACTTAACCCACTTAAGCCCCCTTCATTTAAGCAAAATAACAACTTGAGTTAAACCGCAGATTATAATTATAATACTGATAATAATTATTATTTTTGAAGGTCAATCCCATCCATTATATTTGCTTAAAAAAAGACCATCACCTAAACTGCGCTAAAATTCTTCAAGATTCATAATTTTCGTGGAGTGTATTTTAGTACCGGTCGCCAATGGGTTAATGTCGCTTGTACACGAATGGAAATCAGGGTGACCGTACACGGTATTTTTAATATTTTTCGCTATTTTTATAGTGCAAAATTGAACGGAATCTTTACGGTATATCGGTATATAATCTATTAAATTTCATTTTCAACCGTATATCCAATAAAAGCAAGTATTTGGAATACGCCAGTCAGGTAGAAAATTGATTCATTAATCGGATAAAATTATGTGGGCAGGGCTGCTATTTAGTTAGTTGTATTGCACGGAATATAAAAAACGAGGAATATAATAGAGCTCGTCAGTATATTTATGGTATATTTTTAAATTAAGCGTTATATTTTGGTATATTTCTGAGGGTCGGACAGTATATTTTACCGATAAATCCGCGGTCACACTGTTCTACATTCTAAGCGGGTCACACCAAAACTTAGAGCAAAACAAGCGTGCTTTCAGTATAATAAACAGATTAAATAGCGAATAATGAGTGACAGCGAGGAAGAAATAAAGCAGAATACGGATCCAGTGGACAATGCCTGGTCGTTAAAGATTCCCGCCTTTAGGCAAGAGGACAATCCACATGGTATGGTGGAGGAGAGCTCCTTTGCCACGCTCTTTCCCAAGTATCGCGAGAAGTACCTGCGGGAAGTGTGGCCGCTGGTGGAGCAATGTGTGGCAGAGCACCAACTGAAGGCGGAGCTCGACCTGGTTGAGGGCAGCATGGTGGTGAAGACGACCCGAAAGACCTGGGACCCGTACATCATCATCAAATCGCGCGACATGATCAAGCTGATGGCTCGCAGCGTGCCCTTCGAGCAGGCTAAACGTGTTCTGCAGGACGACATTGGCTGCGACATAATCAAGATCGGCAATCTGGTCCACAAGAAGGAAAAGTTTGTGAAGCGGCGACAGCGACTGATCGGACCCAATGGCGCCACACTAAAGTCGATCGAGCTGCTTACCGACTGCTACGTCCTGGTCCAGGGCAACACTGTGTCGGCACTGGGTCCGTACAAGGGCCTGCAACAGGTGCGTGACATTGTGCTGGAGACCATGAACAACGTGCACCCCATCTACAACATAAAGGCGCTGATGATTAAGCGCGAGCTGATGAAGGATCCCAAACTGGCCAACGAGGACTGGTCTCGTTTCCTGCCCAAGTTCAAGAACAAGAACATAAGCAAACGCAAGCAGCCGAAGTCCAAGAAGCCCAAGAAGGAGTACACACCCTTCCCGCCGGCCCAGCCGGAGAGCAAAATCGACAAGCAGCTGGCCTCTGGTGAATACTTCCTCAACCAGGAGCAGAAACAGGCCAAGAGGAACCAGGAGCGCAGTGCCAAGCAGGCCGATGCGGCCAAGAAGCAGGACGAGCGTCGCAACAAGGACTTTGTGCCACCCACAGAAGAGGCTCCCAGTCGCAAGCGCCAAGCCGAGGACAGCAGCAAGGTGGATGTCAAGGCTCTCAAAGCGAAGCTGGTCAAGGCAAACAAGAAGTCCAAGAGCTGATGTGTGTGAGAGCCTTCTGTTAGTTGTAGTTATTGCTAGAAAATCCTTAAATAAAAAAAGAGAACCCTGTAAATCTAGTTCAACGTTGTAAGAGATCTCTCAGCGAACTCAGTCGCTCTATTCTCACCTGAGAGCGCGTCTCTCTCTCTCTCTCAACCACTCTCTCTCAGCCCCAGCAAACAAGCACTTCGAGGCTTAGCTCATGCCTCGGCTAACTGGCTGTGCTGTGCTGGCCAAGTTAGTTTTTTTTCCGTCAGAAACACGAAACACGTCGGCCACAACGGACAACGCTCGCGTGCGTTTCAGAAGTCCACAAACAACAACGACGTTGTGGGGTTATTGTTATTTGTACATTTGCTTTGAAGAGGAAGAGGAAATCGGAGACGAGGCGCGGCGCGGGAGACGGCGACAGTTTGTAGTGGAAGCGGCGGTTGTGGAAGAATTAAAAAGAACGAAAGAAAGCCGACTCGAAAATAAAAATCGAAGAACGTCGAGAAAGCACAGCACTTACCACAAGCCAGAGCAGGACGGAACGAGGAGGAAGACAGGTAAAAAAGAAGAAGTAGAGTGCGATGGATACGCAAGCCCAGTTACAGTTAGTTTTTTATGTTTGAATTAAAATAATAATAAAAGGCAGTGAAAAATGCCTGAGTGTGCCCTCGCCCTGTCCGTGTCCCTTCTCCCATCTGTGATCATCGCTTGAAAAAACCAAACCAGTTCAAAAATACTAGGGGAACGTGACAACGAAATTCGAATTCGTGCTAATTAGGAAAAGAATGCGCAAAGTGAGAGGATGAAGAGGAGAGGTGATATCTAAATGCTAAAGAGAGATATGAATGTGTATGCATATGTGTGTGACTGTGTGTTAAGGGAATACCTACTGTATATCAGTGGGGTAAATGCGGTCAATTAGAATAAATATACCTACACGGGTGTGCATACATGTATGTAGGTGCTTATGTGTGCAAGATTCGATGAATTAGTGAATGAATTGTGAACAAAAAGCATTGAAAATCAATACGAAACCTGCCGCCGCTCCCAGTTTGTATATCCACACACACACACACACACAATGAGAGGCCAGGCCATATACCTGTGTGGAACCGAGTGTGTGTGGAAAAGACTCGTAAAAATATCAACAGAGCTGGAGAAAAACAGGTGGAAAAGAAAGCTTAAAAAATGCGGTCGGTCAAAAAGTAAAGTTGCAGCAGACGCTGCGACGGCGGCGGTGATGGGAGGTGGAAAATGACGGAGACAAATATCAGCAGCAGAGTTACCTTTTCAAGTCGTACGTCGTACATACACGTATACATACATACACAAGAGAGACTCACAGTTACACAGGTACATTCTGTTTGCCCGCCTGCCACGCATGCGCCCGACAGAGATGGCACTAGTGCTTGTTGAGCGCTGCGCTGCCTGTTGCTCCGGGCTCCGGGGTGTCGGTGTCGATGTCGATGTCTCCCCATTTGTAACCGAGCCGTGAGTCTCACTTGGCTCTCAAGCATGTTTTTTCACACAGCGCCATTTACCTTCGCCCAAGCCCCCACTCGTGGCCGGCCCCCACCAACATTTGAGATAAAGCCAACAACTAGAGCCATGCCATGGACAGGCGCTTATCTAAATTTGTCCTGTCCTCTATATACTGCTGCCGCCTGAATTATTTTAAAAGTAACTTCCCATCCCAGGGGCCAAATGATAAACAAGCCAAAAGCGAGCGACTGCTCCCCCGCTATTAGTGTAATTGTTTTTGTTTCTGTTTCTGTATCTCCAACTGTTTGTGCGGGGGCTTATCACGCCTTAATTAATTATCTCCACCTGAATGCCGGCCGACCATTACTAAGTATTTGCTTAAGACGTATGGCCCCGCATCGCGATCAAAGTTGATTTATGCAAGTGCGATCCGCGGCGAGCACTTTCGCTGTTATGTGCGATAAGTTTTATCGCCTGGTTTCGTCATTCCATTCCCTCTGCCTCCCTCCTCTTTGGCTGCTGTAAGCCAACATCCATTTGTCAAATACCTCGCGAATGATGCAATATGCCAAGTGCTGTGATATCTCTGTGGAAACACAGCAAGTATAACAGTCCAGTGTCAGCAGAGTTGATCCCGTCGCATATCATTTCATGCCTTAAGTAAACACAACATAAACACATACATATTGCATGTACATAACAAGAGTACAGGGGTGTAGTAGAGCACCCATGCCGGACAACAGGGGAGGGGGGGGGTCTGGAATAATGTTCTAGCTTGTTTAGGACTCTTACTGTGATTCCGCTTCCGCAAATATATTCTTTATTCCCTACTCAACGTTTTCCATTTACCTGCAGCAGAACACCAAATTGTATGTTCCACCTTGGCCCGCCCATTCCGCCCCTGTTAGATTGGTATGCGACGCTGGCGTCGCTGCCTTAGTCGGCGCCAGAGCCCAGCCTAAGCCGTCAGCGGAAAAGTAGTTGTTTCTGCTGTCACTTGAGTCGCGCTGAGGGAGCGGCTGAGAGTGCTTGTGAGCGAGACCAAGAGCGACAGCGAGAGAGAGAATTTGCAAATCCGTGTTTGTGTGTGTGTTTTTGCAGGTGTGTTCATTTGCAATGCTGTCGAGAGTGGAGTGGGATGGAGAGCGGCTAGAGGGGATAGGCAATCAGTTGGCTACGATGAGGGGGGTGGGAGTAAAAGAGAGGGCGCGCGATTTTTGAATTCCAAAGCTGAGGCTGTGGCTGGAGGCCGCGGCGCTGAGGCTGCGAGCAAAATGTTAAAGTTTGAGAATAATTGTGGCCGATTGTGGTCGCCTGGCCATGTGTGGAGCGTGTGCGGGGAGTGTAGTGTGTGTGGAAGTGTGGAATGCGGTCTGAGTCAGCGTTTATTGGCTGCGCAATAGCCAGAAGAGGGTCGTGCCAGGGGGGCACTCTTCTCAGTCTGATCTTTCTAACCGAACCAAACCGAACGTGTGTTTCCTTTCAGACGGTCCTGAACGCGCTTTTTGGCTAGGAATCACCACATGAGAATGGTCAACCATCATTCAAATGGCGGCGGCAGTGCCGGAAACAGCAGCGGCAGCCTGCGAGGCGGCGGCGGAGGGGCCCACGGTGGTGGCGACTACTCCGGTGATGATCGGAGTGGCGGCGGCGAGGAGCGCGAGAGATTGGACGGGGATCTGCACGATAAGCCCACCTACCTGCTGGAGCACCTGGCCACCTTTACCGTGAACAAGGAGTCGGGCATTGTGTACCCAGCGGATGGTATGCGCCGTCTGCTCCAGCTGGAGAAGACCACGGGCATCTGGTCGCAGAAGATGCAGCTCTGCCTCGACTACCAGTGGGTGCTCATCATGGACTACGAAACGGGGGTAGGTTAATTTCACCAACTATTTGAAGGTGACACATTATTAACTCATTCAATCCATCCCTTCCAGAACATCATTGAGCGTTTCCCGGCCTCACTTGTCCAGGAGCCCACGGCCTTCACCTCCAACGATGCCATGGAGCTGTACAACAACATTCTCGTATTCATTGTATCCGGCGGCGGCGGCTCCCGCTCAGAGATGCACATATTCCAGGTGAGATTTACCTCGCTTTAGCAGTCTCTTGAGTTCCCAACTAATCCTCTCTGATCTCCGATTGCAGTCACAAAGCGTATCCGCCGTGCATTTGGTGGAGGATCTGAAGCAGCTGCGCAGCGGCAAGATGATCACACAGCAGCGCGGGGCCACGCCCACGCAGTCGGCAGGAGCCTCCGGTATGGCCATGATGATGAGCAAGACCTCCTCTTCGTCGTCGCACAGCAGGGCCGAGCTCCACCAGCAAAGGGAGCAGCGCGGTGACCGGGAGAGAGACAGGGAACGCGAGAGGGATAGAGAGAGGGAGCGGGACCGGGAGCGGGAGAGTCACCATCACATGCACCAAAGGAGCAGCGTGGAGCAGTACGGGATGCGAGGCGGCGGAGCCGTGACCGAAGTGGACCTGGGCCACAACGGGGAGACGGACTCGGAGCACGGTGGAGTCAACGAGCGGGACGAGACGAGCTCCACCTCCAGCGAGAAGTACGAGCGGGACGTGGCCGTGCTCAACCATTGCTTCGACGATATTGAAAAGTTTATAGCGCGACTGCAGCACGCCGCCGCTGCCTCAAGAGAGCTGGAGAGGCGCAGGAGGAACCGGAAGTCAAAGAAGCGAGACCCAGGAGAGGGCCTGCTCACGCTGAGGACACGGCCACCACACGAGAAGGAGTTCGTGGATATATTCGCCAAATTCAAGCTGTCGTTCAACCTGCTGGCCAAGCTGAAGGCACACATCCACGACCCGAACGCCCCGGAGCTGGTGCACTTCCTCTTCACCCCCCTGGCCCTCATCGTCGAGGCCTCAAGCGACACCTACTACGAGTCACAACTGCCGGCGCGCGTCGTCAACCCGCTGCTGACGCGGGAGGCCATCAATCTGCTCATCAACTGCGTTACCAGCAAGGAGACGGAGCTGTGGCGGTCTCTGGGCGATGCCTGGGTCATTCCACGCGACCAGTGGAAGGACGACGTCGGCTCCTACCACCCCGTCTTCCTCGACGGCTGGTCCCCCGACTACCTTATCAACGACGAGCTGGAGCCCACTTCCCCGCCAGCTCATGTGAGCAAGCGTCGTCTGGAGGTTCAGGCCGGACCTGGCCACGGCTCCGGATTGAACGGACGGGGTCCGCCAGGCGGAGGCGTCTACGATGACTACGACACTGGGAATGGCATGGCCATGGCCATGGGCATGGGCATCGAGAAGTACACCATCCACCATGGCAACGATCGGGAGAGGGAACGCGATCGGGATAGGGATCGTGCAGGTGCCATCAGTGCCTCAGACTTCAATACCCGCAGCGAGCTGTCCTTCGACTCGATAGAGCGGGGTGGAGCTGCGGGCCATGGCCCAGGGCCTGGGGCAGGACCCACACTAAGCGCCATCACCGCGGGCCTCCAGAACCTCCACACGCGAGACTCTCGTGACGGAAACGGAGGAAGAGGAGGAGGAGGAGGCGGTGGCGGATATGGGCCAGGTGCTGGAGCCGCCTCAGAGTTGTCGGTGGCAGGTGGACGCGCGACCAATGTCAGCGACGACCAGATGCTGGAGTCCTGGTTGGAGGATCTGCAGACGGGAGGCTCGAAGATTGTGCTGGTCACCTATCCGCGTACCGCCAACAACGACAAGGAGCTCAGTGTAATGCGAGGCGAATACCTGGAGGTAAGAAGATCTTAGATCAGAAATCCTTTGCTAGAGTAACCCTAATCTGGTCTCAATATTTTCTGCAGATCCTCGATGACACCCGGAAGTGGTGGAAGGCGCGCAATATGCGCGGCCAGGTGGCCCATGTCCCGCACACGATCGTCACGCCCTTCAACTATGGCGACGGCGACGGAGCCCAGTACTATGGACAGCCGCCGCAGCAGCAGCAGCAGACCCTGACGCAAGGGGGTCCTGCCAGCAAGTCCCGACCAGGGGTAAGTCATCGATCGTCGCTCTCTCGATCGATAACATACTCATTTCAATCGATTTCTGTGCACAGGACAACCCTGGAATGGAACAGCGATCACCCGATCCCACGGACATGATGCGCAGCAAGCATCTGGGGAAGAAGGGCGAGTTCCGTTACTTCTAGAACCGATTAATCGAAATACACACCCACGCATATATACACAGACACAGGCACGGATATATATATTCGATAGTGAGAGCATAATAGAGCGACAGACACGTCCGTCTAGACTAAAACGTCCACTTCCCCCGCAAATTAAAAAATATTAAACCATAAGACTAACCTAAGTTCAGGCCCAGATCCCCCCCAGATTGGAGATGCGGCAGGATATATACATAGCTAAAGCTAAAGCTGAAGAGCTGATGGAGAGGCGCAGGCAATAAATTGTTTTAATAAAACCATATCCAAAGGATCCCCTAGAAGATTGTTCGAGTTAAGCGCTAAGGGAGAGCGGACTAATTCTATGAATCCCCAATGATCGCACAGATAGATCGAGTATGGATTTGCTTTATTTATTAAGTAGTGATCGGTTTAGTTACGAATTTTCAACGACTAAATAGATCGATTGCATAGATCCGATTAGTCCTAAGAGTGGACCTACAATAATTTTGAATCATATCCAACGTGGATGCCGCATCAAAGAAGTGGTGGTACTCGCAATCGATTGTTGACTTTGCTTTATTTGAATGCTCACAAGAAGAAGGTTAACTGGTGCTCTACAGGAATATCAAAGCCAACGATTGAACAAAGATCCGATCCGAACCGATCCTTCCATTAAATGATGGATAGCTTCTCCACGCGGGCCAGTAACGGGGAATCGGAGTGGTACTCCAGGCTCCTGACGGCAAAGTCGCCCACGTCATTGGTGAAGCACTTGAGGGTGGATATCGAGAAGGGGCGCACCGGGAAGTTGTAGTACGTAAAGTACTGTCCATTGACGGCGATCAGGAATGCGCGATCCCCGAGCCCAAAGGCGATCTTGAAGAGCTTGCCCCGCACAAATGGAAACTCGCCCTCGGTCTCCTCGTCGTCGCTGGCAAAGCTGCAAAAGAGGAAGAATGGAGAGTAGAATTATCCGAGGTAATCCCTGATAGGTATACGCATAGAGACCAACCTGTTGTCCTCGCGCTGGTAGCTCCGGGAGACGGTCGTTCTGTCAAAGTTCACCTGAAAGCGGAGCACGGTGCGTCCGGTGTCGTTGCATTGGAAACAGATGGAGAATTCCGTGGTGGGCGGACCCTTGGCGATGCACTCCATGGCAACGACGGTGCCCGTCTCGTAGCGGCGGGGCACGTCGCTCTGGAAGGCGATGCGGTCGGGGCACATGAGGGTGCGCGGGAAGACCAGGGGAAACAGCATGCGGTGGTGGAACTGTGTGATCTTCTCGAAGTCGCCATAGGCTCGCACATAGTTGATTTGCTTGGGGAACTTGACGAACTCGAAGGATCCATACAGCTGATCGTTCACGTAGATCTCGAAGCAGCGCTGGAGTACGGCCACGCGGAAGGTGAAACTCTGGCCGGGTATCAGGGGGTTCTTGGGACCGTCGCTTTTCCAGTTCTTGGAGATCTCCTCCTGCTGCCATCCCTCGCCGGGCTGAAACATGCTCCGGATGATCTGGCCCTCCCGGAAGTTGGCCTCGATCTTCAGGAAGACCGTCTCGCTCTCGTTCTGCGCGTTTACATTGTCCGTGAGGTCCAGAGAGATTCTGTTTTTCGGGATCAATCGGTGATTAAAGTAAAGATATGTAGATCTGATATCTTGGGGACATAATCTGTTGCCTACTTATTGGGATGTGGCTTGACGCGTCCACTGACGACGAGCACATGCCCGAAGGGCACCTCCGTGAGCACCTTTGCCTTCCACACGTTCATCACGCCTCAGCGACTCCACTGCAACTGATTCGGATTCGGATTTGGAAACTCTGAGAGCCACAGCCAGAGCCCGAGCAGGACACGTCTTATGCGATGTTATGCTAATAGATTCGCCATTCGCCGCTTCATTCCTTCATTTATTTATTGTGATTATGTAAAGGGCAGGAGGACAGGCAATGAAACAACGGCATGAAATGAAGAATTACCTGCAGCCACATGCAAACTTGACATGGACGTGGACGTGGATGTGGACGTGGTAAGGTTACCACCCCCGCCCACACCAACACCAAAACCGACACACAGGCCATGTAACCCGTTCAATCGAATCCCATTCAACCCCTGGATCCAATCCGACCCCTGACATGACGAGACGAGAACCTTGCGCGCTTATTTATTTGATTCAATCCTTGCCTTTGTAACCCATAACTGTCATCCTCAAGTTCTTTTCACGGTTGTTGTCACGCCCCCGACCGCCCATTTGTTGCTAGTTACACTCACCACCCCCCAATCCCAACGCTAGTCATACCCTCGGACTCGTAAATGTCGAGGGTGGTATGGTATTCGCGCCATCTATGCTATAATCTCAGATTTGTGAAAGGGGTAGCAAAGAATCGTACAATCCCATAAAAATTAATATCATATTTCTATTCATCAAACCTCTGGTTAGCATTATCATTCGATTCCATTTCCAGGAAATCTGTCCAGCGGATATCGGAATATAAGGAAAAGTTTACTTCTTCCATTGTTTCCATTGTTGTTGCGTGTCTTGGGCTTGGGTGAAATAAAACAAGGCAAAAACAATTGATTCCCTGTCTAAAGTTTTTGCATTTGCAGTAAAGTGCGACTCCGGCCTGGGATGGGCATTGGACTGAGGCAAGAGCAGTCGTTGGAGCTGGCACTGGAGCTGGAGCTGGAGCACTCATCCATCCTTTCCAGTCAGAGTCATTTCTTTTGACATTCCTTGGCATATTCGCTGATGTTCTGACTCTGTTTCTGTCTACATCTACGCCTTCACTTTAGTCAAAGTTCGCGCCAATGACATCTCCACGGAGCTCCGCTCATCCCTCGGCCTGACTACGTGGCCCTCGGCGCTCTCCGTTTCTGTCGCTGTCTCTGGCTTTGTCCGTGTCGCTTGCACCTGATCGAATTGGGCCCCAAGTCTTTGGCTTTGGCAGTCTCTCTGCTCAGCTCTGCTTTTGCTTCTGCTTCTGTTTCTGTTGCTGATTGCGTTTCACCTTGGCACACTCCGCACCGCCCACGCTCCACCCACGCTCCCCCCACGAGAGAAGGTGCCTGGCTACGCCTGCTACCGCTGGCAAATTGCTAATTGGTTAGTTATGGCTCCTCTGAGAGGAGACCAGCTCCCAGGGTGACCTTGCTAACCCCTGACACACCCGACACACGACCCGAAACAGAGCTAATGAAGTAATCGTGTCGATTTCAACTTTAATTTCCGGTTGTCACTCCAACTGATAACTCGAGCAAGGTTTGTGTACGTTGCACAATTATCAGTTTTCAGTTTTTAGTTTTTCTCCTCCTTTCAGCTACAACCCACCCCCCCTCGCCACGTTGCCTGCTACCTGGGCAACCCTCTAAGGGAGACGGAGAGAGGCGGCGTCTTCTCCAGAGGTCTTATCTCAGTTTTACTTCTAGTTCGAGCTCCCATTCCCCAGTCGCCCATATCGAATCGGTTCAAGTCGAGCGACGACACGTCTACAGAAATCAGATTTTACAGTCGTGGGACCCCCAAATCGTACAAGGAATATAACGATAATGGGTTTATGGTTTCCCGCCGTCTGCCATCCGTGCCACCACGGCAGCACGCCTACAATTCGCACTTCCAAAACAGAAGTCGAACAGAACCGAAGCCGAAGCCGACACAGACACCGACGCCAAACGGTAGCCGAAGATCCGAGCGATCGTTTAATCGGGAGTCGGGAATTGGGGAATTGGGGAATCGGGTAACCGGCATACCACCACCGACATATCGGAATGGGGAATGGAAAGGGGGACTCCAATCGACTTCTGTTCTGCAGGTGCCGTTGGGCCTAGCGCGAAATCAGAGAGGGAAGTGGGGTGGTGCGCAGAGCGTGCAATATCAGTATCAGTGTCATTATCAACTTCGATCCACTCGATGAAAGGCCAACAATTGTGCAATTTCTGATTGATTAAGGCATGGGAGGGTTACGGTACGGTACCCCTACCGATCCTCACCTGTCCGCTCCTCGGGAGCTCGCACTCACTGACGACTAATGATGACGTTGACAAGTTGGATACGATCTCCGATCACTGATCGACGATTAGCACGCGTCCCTGTAATTTGTAATCGTGTTCGTCCCGCATTGGACACACTCTGGAAAAGCCTCTGAGAGTCCAAGACTCTCAAACCCACGTGGCGTTTACTTGAGGCATGAAAATAACTTAAGCCAAACGAACAAACTTTTTGCATTGCGATCACAGTTTGCATTCCCCTGGCCCAAGTAATTCGCTGCCTTATTCGGGTGGGTGGGCTCTCAAGCACAGGCACAGGCCTTGGATGCAGTGCATCTCTGGGTTACACGTTGGCACCAGCCACTGAGCGAAAACTGAACGCGCACTGATCGTGATCGATCGCCTGGATGGATGGATGGCTGGATCTTTTTTTTGGAGGAGTAGATCAGGGAGCACTATGCACTTGTCGCGTATCGAAACGTAACTGAATTGTTGGATTTGACGGTGAAGTTTAAAACGTCAGTTCTGCTGTGCCCACGAAGTTGTCGTCGATCGCCCGAACCGCCGATTGCCGATATCTCTCACCTCCGAAGGCGGAGGAAGAGGAAAGAGGAGGAGCTCTGCTCCGAGAGGGTGTATGGTGTATGGCATGTGCCTGTGTGTGAGGGAGAAGCCCAGACAGTAACAGAAACAGAAACCGAATGGCAAAGAAATAAATATGAAATATTGAACGCATAAATGTGGAGCAAAAGTGGGTAATATTTTCGTAGATACGGGCACGCTCTGGGCTACATACGTACTGTGTGTGAATGCGTGCTGTCTTTGTATTGGCCATTAAAAAACAGTTCGACATGACTCTTGTGCTCTTTTCCTCTTTTCCGCTGCTGTCAACGTAGCCGCAAAAAGAAAATTAAATGGCCCACAATTTGTCTCAATAGATTCCATTCCCATTCTCATTTCGTTTTATCAGCAGCGGCAGGTAGTGGTAATGGTATCTATAGCTGAGGGTTCTCTGCTCCCTTTATTTTACCTGGGGACCAGGTCAGGCGAATCCATCCACATGCATGTGTGGCGGCTGTGTGTGACACCTGACAACGTCAACGACTGTTTGCTCAACGTCGTGCGATCTGTTACCCCTGCCACGTTTGCCATTGTCAGAGAGGGAGAGGGAGAGCGAGAGAGACCCAGTGCTCCAGACCCCTACACAGCCTTATCAACGGACAGCGAACATGTCGAGAAAAGTCATAATTTTCTTTGATGTTTGCACGAGCCGGAGTGTCATTAATTGATTTATTACCAAAGTTGATTGTCATGTTCCTGTCTCTGCTCCGTTCTGGTGTCGGGTGTGGGTATTCGATCTCTCTACTTCGATTTGGGGACTGTCCAACTAATTATATGGCCAACTAATTAGGTAATGTGTTTGCTTGGCACTTGGCACTCTTCAATGTGACCCCCCAAAGGAACACTTAGACTAGATTGGGGGTGGCATGAAAATTCCAATGCGAATGCGATCCCATTCCCTTACATTGTGCAGTGCAGTGTAAATTCCATTTCGATTCTTGTTTAAAGTAAGCATACACATACACCGCATTTTTTTCACTCCAATTCCCGGTTCCCGGTCATGTGTGTCTACATTTGGAGCAGCGTGTTTATTCAGCTTGGAAACTGAGTCCCCCCCCCACACACACACACACCAGACAGTACAGTAAACACTTTATTGTACGAGTGTATATATTGTATATATATCAGTCATCTACGGCTACAGTTCCATCTATAGAGTAAACCAGACTCTCAATAGCGGCGATTGTCGTCGGCATTTTGTGACGTCGGTCTCTTTAGGCTTCCTTTGCCGGTGGCTTCCATAACATTCTGCATGACCAGGTCGTACAGGTTTTGCTCCTCCTCTATTTCGTTGGCCTCGTCATCACCCTTCACTGCCGTCTGCAAGGACTCCAGCTCTTTTCTGTAGTTGTCCAGAGCCTCATGCAGTATTTTCTCCACCGGCGAGTAGGTGATGCGTGACCTTAGACGAGCCTTGGCCAGTTCCAGCGACTTGGGAGGGAGATAAGAGATTTTTTAGTAGCTCTATGGGAAATCACCACTCCCATTTCACCTTAAGGGTGTTTGTGTTTCTTAGCAGGGCCTCTTCGTATGACAGGACTTTAGGTGGCGGCGGATGGATCGAAATCTTGGCCAGCTTCTCGGTCTCGCGTTCCAGCTTCAGCTCCTCAGCCTGACTGCAGGATAATAATAGAAATACAAGAGTGTTCTTTCACTAATACATATGTATTCCAGCTTACACTTTCTCCAGTTTCTGATCAATTTCCGACTCCAATGCCATGTATTTGTCATTAATTTCCTTTATAAGGTCCATCGTATCGTATCGTTTATTAAATAAAAATAAAGTGTAAACAAATGAGTTGCCAAGCAACGGTAACTTTGCCCCGTCCGTGCTGCCAGATGGATGGAACAGAGCTGCCAGATGCAGATGTGTTTCATTCCCAAATTGTATCCGATATTTCACTTGCATTCGAAAACCATCGACTGACTATCGCGTAGAAACGTGCGGTTTAGGAACATCCGATTGGTTTATTTTGGTGAACTAAAATTCCAGTGCGATTTAAAATAAAAGTAGTCAATATATTAAGATATAAATAAAATTCCAATTATATATAAATATAATCCTAAAACCTCAGTGAATATGTTTATATATTTTTCCCGCTCATGAGAAATTTTATTTTTGCGATTTGCAATAGCCGAATCAGGGCTGTATATTTCTTTAACTTTAGTTTTGGATTTATTAAGTGTCGGTATTCTACGTTTCAATCCACACAATACCTTTGATCTGTTGCGCATCACAATCAAGTGGAATCATACAAGCTATACCTATATCTACAATAAGCCTCCTACTTAATTAAGCACCGTTCCCCCGTTGCATGTCCTACTGGTCGCGCAGGAAATGATTGATGTGCGGTGCCACCCGCTCCGGCGTGACCAGGTGCAGGTGATGGGTGCCAGGTACTTCCACGTAGACCACATGGGCAGCGTTCTCCTTGAGCGTGGCTATCACATCCGCATAGACCTGGGGAGTCTCGAACTTCATGCCGGGCGTCCCGCGGATGTTAAGCACCTTGCAGCGGATCTGACGAGCATAGGCCAACGTCTGTTCCGCGGTAAACATGCCCAGCAGGCTCACCTTGAGCCGCAGGTCCCGCGCAAAGAGATAGCCATCCTTGGTGGGGTTGTGTCGCATGCCCCGCTGCATCAGGATCTTCACCGATGCCTCGTCGACGGAGCCATCGTAGGCGTCCAGCACCAGTTTGATCATCTCGTCGTACGAGTAGCAGGGCTGCTTACTCTCGGGCAACGTCTCATAGTCGAGGAATTTGTCAAGGGCCTTGCCCGTGCCCTCTGCAATCCGCTTAATGCCACGCACCGTCGGCCCGGCAATGTCAATGTTGATAAGCTTGGCCACCTCATCCGGAAAGCTGGCGGCGTACATGAAAGTCAGCGCTCCGCCCAGGGAGTGACCGAGAAGGGTGACGTTCTTCCAGTTATACTTGCGCACGATGCGACGGATCAGGCAGATGCCGTCCCAGAAAATGAAGTACTGCATGCCCTGCGGATAGTGCGTGGACTTGCCGTGGCCGGGCAGATCGATGGCCAGGACTGCACTGTCAGCTGGCAGCAGAGGGCACAGCCTGTCGAAGCTCCCACAATTGTCCTGCCATCCGTGCAAAGCGATTATGGGCTGCTTATTGCGCGATCCCCACCACTTGCCTGAGGAGATGAACGGAGATAGGAAATGGAAACGTATGATGCGAACGCTGCGTCACGATGAAATCACGTCAATGGCTGATGCTATGGGCCGATATGGCTATGGCAGACCAGCGATAAGCCGAGCCAGACAGGCTGACTCATTCACACGCTCTTACCTGCCAGAGTGCCCCACGGTACATCGATCGAGAACTCCTCCCAGCTGTCGGCTCCCAGCTGTTCCTCAACGACGCCATCTGAAAGGCGAGCAGACATTGCACGTAACAATATTTAACAATTGCAAAACAAACAGCAGTACAGAGAAGGGGGGGAGAGCTGTCGTAACGGGCTGGCGAAATCGTTTTGTCTGTCGCGGCAGGTGAGAGCGCTAGACTTTGGACCGCAGGTCAGACTTAAAAGGTACCACCACACTCACTTGTCTTTGACGCCGCCGACAGCCCCAGAGCCGACGATGTCAGTGACGTTGTTGTTGCCAGTCGTGCTTGTGCCATGGTCAAGATTCAGATGGTGTTGACTCCCGTGTAGTTGTTGTGCAGGCACTGGTTGACGCAGGTCCGACTAGCTGCAAAGAGCGAAGAGCGACTAACTAAAAATGGTAAATATTTTAGCCGTGGCGCCGTCGAGTAAAAGTCAATATCGATAGTTGATATCGATTGTTGGTATCGATTGACTGTTTTGCTTTTGTGTTGTTTCGTTAAAAACAAAACTCGAATTAAATACATTTTAGAAGGTTGCGGCTGTTAAATCACCATGTAAGCAAAATATACAATACTCATAATCTGTCCAAACACTCACCCAAGCCTACCCACAGGACGGAATTCTGGAAATCAAACGAGCGCAAGTACTGCGACTTCTGCAAGTGCTGGCTGAGCGACAACAAAGCCGTAAGTACACGATGATGGCCTCTCCTCGCCCCATGGATCCCCTACTAATCAAAACTCTTCCAGAGCATCGCCTTCCACGAGGATGGCAAGCGACACAAGCTGAATGTGGCGAAGCGGATCACGGACATTAGCCGCAGCAGCGAAAAGTCTGAGCGGGAACGACTGAAGATGGACGCCGACATCCGTAAGATGGAGGAAGCGGCCATGCGGTCGTATGCCCAAGATATACACGGCCGTGCCGACATGACAGCCCGTTCCATCAACACTGTAATGAACGCAGTGGCCACTTCCGGCAGCAGTGGATCCCGCGGCGGAACACACGCCCCGGGCAGAGGCAGGCAGATAGATCCCATGCGATTAGAGGGCTACTCCGACGAGGAGGAGGACAATCGGCGCGTGGCTCCCGGCAAAGTGACCGCCGACGCTGCTGTGCCCGATGCCTCCCTGTGGGTGGAGGGAAAGTCGGATGAAGGCCACACCTACTACTGGAACGTGAAGACAAATGAGTCTGTGTGGAAGCCCCCCAAAGAGGGATACCTATCGTACGAGGAGTACGAGCGTATCAATCAACTGGCCATCAACCAGCAGGAGCTATCCCAGGAGCAGGAATCGCTGCGGTTTCGGGCCAATGCGGATGAAGAAGTGGCCCGCGTTAACCGAGAGAGGCTGAAGGCCTTCAGAAAACCAGAGACCGCCAAGGAGAAGAAGCAGAAGGAGGAAAAGAGACTGGAGTTCAAGACTGAAGAGGAGGCGGCAACCAAGGAGATTGGCCAGTGGCAGACAGTGGAAGTCAAGTACGTCCTTTCGGTTTCTTATCCTATGGTTTCTTGATTTTGTCATTTTACAGAGCCCCCGAAGAGCCTATCGACTGGGAGTTGCCCCAGTCCGATTACTATGTACCCCCTCCCGTGGTGTCCACGTCCAGCGAGCCTGAGCCTCCGGTCAAGCGCTTCAAGGAAAAGACCATTTCCGGCCTGGACGAAGAGGCCGCCGCCAGTGTACCTTCAACATTCAAAAAACGCAAATTCGCTAACAAGGGCAATGCGCGGAAGCGTTTAGATGACTAGGACAGTAGACAATATGTAGTTGATAAGGTTGATTATAAAAATTGTTCAAAAACCATCTGTTAAATGCATTTTTCAGTGTTTGCCAAAATTTAAGTTTTTTAATATTATTGTGGCCAATCTAAATTTGATCAGACTCCGTTTGAGGAATACACATATTATACTTAAAACAGGGATGTTATCGATAGCTCCATTTTGTGCGTGGGGTAATAGGACAACGAGGTGGCGCTGTCTCTCTCCACCTAGCTCTCTCAAGCCAAGACACAATTCTATATACTAGGGTACCCCCCATATTATTTTCTAAAAATATTGAAACTCAGCTTATTTCTACAATTGACATATGAAAGATAATTCTTGATATATCGTACTTCCGTGCATCATTTATTCCGATGGATTGAATTTAAATCCTTGTCACTCATTCAGTTTCAAACAATTTCTATTTGATGAGCAGCATTGTCCCTCAACATGACTGAACAACATGCATACCCTGGGGATATTATAGAATTAATAAAAGGTCATCTATATATATATCTATATATCATTAATATATGCATAAACTAGTCAGTCTCTGTTTTAAACCTATCACAACGATATAGTGCACTTTATTATGTTCTTAAATAGTTCGTCGGTATATTTTGGTATATTTCTCACGGCTCACGCTCTCTCTTGCAACGAAAAAATGAGGCGTAATTCTGCATGGGCTATAAAAATGGGTATGGACAACAGGCAAAAACAGGCAAGGAAAATTGCAAGGTTCCGTACGAACTCACCTCACGTTTGAGGGCAAGGAATATTTTGTATCCAAGGTATATCAAGTATTACCTCGCATGCGTTGCACTTTCTGGGCCGTTTTGCCCACTGTCCATACCCTCTTTTTCCGCCCATTGTAGCAAGTTTACACTGGACGAGATTTCTCAACGTTCAAATTTAAAAAAATTTTGAGCACGGCACATCGGGCGTCATGCGTTCGAGTTGTTATTGTTGTTAATTTCACGTTCAAAACGAATTTCTAGCCAACAGTAAGATTTAGACGCGACTGCTGTCCGATTTTTTGTTCAAGCGTACGGTGGGGCGCACGGCGTTTTGTTGTCGAAAGAGAATCTGTGTGTTCGTGCTTAATTCTGTTAATAACAAAAAGGCCAACCGCAAAGAAGCAGAATCGTGTGAGTGAATGCAATTGCAGCGACGAATGCAGCGAAAAACGACAAATGAAAAAGTGTAAATAAAAGCAATTAATTTAAAGGGAACACCCGACCCCCATTCCTGGAAAGTGTAACGTAAACAACGTAAACAACGATAATATTCGACAAAAGTTGTTTGCTGTTCAACAAATACGTACAAATAAGCAATTCCGTAACTGTTTCCGTAAAGTTCGCCCCGTAACCCGAAACCCCCCTTAAGCTTCGGCGGCGTCGTTGTTTGTTGTGCGATTCCCGTGTCCGCTGCGGGGCATGTGCATGTGAGAGGGGAAAGGTCAGCGCTGCCTAGTGTTGCGTAAAGAGACCCGCGTCGTCTCCACTTCCGTGTCCATAGACTTACGTCAGTCTCAATCTCTGGATATCCGTGCCGAGCGTTGGCTGCAAATCAGGCAAAATTCAGTTCGTTTACGTCTACAACAGCTCCGTCCCCCACGTCGCGGATTCCTACCGCACGGCCGTCGCCCCCTACGCGCCATACGCCGCCGAACGAAGCCACCACCATCCCCTGCCGCCCCAGGATCCGCTTCCCTCGGATACCGAGCAGCTAGCGGACAGCGACAGCAGCCAGAGCAGCGTTCCAGGTACCACCGGACCCGCCGCCGCCGCCAAGCCGCTGATCGGTTCCACTTCGCCGGAAGCAGGAAACAACAGGGCCACCAGGGAGCAGCAGGACAGCAACAACAACAGCAACAACAGCAGCAGCATGGCGGTGGTGCGCAAGAAGCAGGATGACAAGTACCTGCTCGCCCTGCGGGAGCTGGTGACGAGCGGCGCGGGAAACCGGCAGTGCTTCGACTGTGGCCAGAAGGGTCCTACCTACGTGAACATGACGATCGGCTCCTTTGTCTGTACCCGGTGCTCGGGTGTGCTGTAAGTACTTAATTCCCTCTTGTCTTCTCTCTTTCCTCCTCTCCAGGCCATGGGAGGGCTTCTCCGAACTGTGGAATTTTCCATTCATTTCAATTTCTGTCTATCTGCTTGCCGCTGAACAGAGTGGGACAACAACCGTTTTGCCCCTGCCAACTCTCTCTCTCTCTAACGGAATCCTGTCATTCATCTATCCTGTTCACCAGCATTGTCGAGAGTGTAGACTGTAGATGGTAGAATGGGAAACTATTGTGCCCCTGTGTCGGCTCTTTTGTGCTAACGGGATTCTTGGCATATCAATAACATCCTCTTGCATTTCTCTTAACCCTGGACTGACCGCTGTGGATCATATGACACACCACACACCACCATCTTTTTCTTATCTTTTACTGACGTCAATTTTCGATCATTCCCCTAGAGAGTGGACTGACCGATAATTTGCAGGGGATGCAATGTCCGACCTGTCGCCTTCATCGCGGCCAGGCGGGGGGGTGGCCCCTATCAGCCAATGCCCCCCTCTCGCTTGCTTCTTGTGTGTTTCGTGAAAGCGAAAGCCATTCCATTCAATTCCACTCAATTCCAATCCGTTTCCTTTCCTTTCCCGGCAAGCGAGCGAGCGAGCAATTTGGAAATGCAAATCGAAGACAAACTTTCAATTGTCGCTGTCGCTGTCGCTCTTTGTCGCGGTGCTACTTTTGGCCGAAACGAAATTGTTTTGCAGCACTTTCGATGGCGTCTTCGATTCGATTTCTTTAGCCCCCAAAACAGCCACCCACTCCACTCTGCCCGTTAGGTGGTGTGGTGTCCTTCTATTCAGCGGGGGAATGTCAAGTAATTTGGCAAATTGGCTCTGATTTCAGCCAGTTATTTCCAGATTGGGGTCATCTCCGCCTCTTGTTACAATTGATTTGATTTACGCATTTCCGGATGGGGCCTCACATTGCATGATTGCTCTCCCGCTTCCGCCCGTCCCGTTCCCACGACTGGAAGGGAAGCCCGCCCTAGATGGGAATCTACTTCGTAGCAGCTCTCAATTGGGCAGCATGCGGGCGGTACTGATCGTTGCATCTGCCCCAAGCAAGCCAGGTGCCCAATGCCCAGTACCCAATGCACTGAACTGCACTGGAAACCCTTCATGTTTGATGACTCATTCCCATTATTCGCTGACGCTGCCGCCGCCGCCGCCGCCGTCGCCTGAAAGGGGAGACAAATGTTGGCATGTAAATGGAAAGCCGCACAAATGCCTCGACAGGAGTGGCAGAAGAAGGGACTCCAGGGAGAGGGAGAGACAACGAGCGGGCAACGAACTTCCTGGCAACGAAAACCCACTCCCGAGTCCACGTCCAAGACAAAATTGCTGTGCATGTTCAGCCCTCTCCGCTGGAAGCTCCCCCCTTCTCTCGTTTTGCTGTAGGAATCCGCTGCAGACCGGCCGGCCACTTGGAATGGGTTAATGGAGGAAGCGGCTTCAGGAATGGAAGTGGGAATGAAGTTGGGAATGGTAGTGGTACTGGTGCTGGTGCTGGTGCTGGCACTGCTAGTGGGCTGCAGGAAGGGGTTCGGTTCGAGCAGAGCTCGAAACCTGTCAAGCAGCTTTTGCGCATACTTGAGTGTATTTTTGGGCTGCTAGCTGCTATTGCTGTGGCTGTGGCTGTTGCTGTTACTGTTGCGGTCTGCCTCCGATTGCGGACAAATTGTTGCACCTCAATCAAGCAGCAGTCGCCTCGTCTGGGAACCCGACATCTGCTCTAACTTTGGCTTTGGCCCACTCAGCGGCGGAACAGCAGCAGAAGCAGCAGAGGCAGAGTTCAAAGCTTGCTGGCCTAGCTGTTGGCTCATAAAAGTCAAGAAACTTGTTGATTAGATAAGGCGAAAGCAAACAGACACAACACACTCATGCAATGGGCACATTGGGTACACCAATGTTGAGCCACTTTCTCAGGCGGGTCTTCGTCATCATTCCATTCCCACTGTACAGCAGCATATACAGCACCATATGCACATGCATCTATATGAATGTGTGTGTGTGTGTGAGTGCATGCTTCTAGTGAGAGGCTATGCGTCAGCGGGTTAGTGCCTCTCGCTCACTCCCAAGTGCAGTTGCAACTGGGCCAAACCGTACTCTCAGCTCAACTGCATTGCTCTCTCCTTCTCTCTGTCTCTGTCGCGCTCTCTTCTACTCTTCATTCTGCGGTTTCGTATGTAAATTTCGATTATGAAACAGCATAAAAAATCTCTGCATTTGACAGCTGTAGACAACAATATGAGGAGGGAGTGGGGTAGAGTAGGGTAAGGACAAGAGTGAGTGGCGGGGGCACACTTTCACCAGCCAGGCGGTGTGTCAGCTGTGCGGCCCGCTTATTTCTTTTTTCGACAAAAAACCCAAAACAACAAACTAAAAGAAAAAGAAAAAGCAAAGGAAAAAAAGAAACGAAAAGGCAAAGCAATTAAATAAACCAAATACATGTGTAAGAGCAGCCATAGTGTGAGTGTGAGTGGGAGCACTCCCATTGCTCGTCATTTGCACTATGTGTTTCTACACATACAAATTTCAAATGCTAAATGTTTACCATGCCGTTCCTAGAAGTTTCACTCCTTCCCGCTCCCGCTCCCGCACTCTCTCTCTCTCCCCTCTCCTCTCTCACAACATTAAAGGGAAATGTGAATCGCATTTAATTCAAACAAAGTCATAGGCTTAAGCAGAAGGCTAGTGGGAGTGAGAGGTGGGATGACCCGACGACAATTATTGCGCAGTTCGTTTCACTTACACACACATTTGTGTATGCTGCTTGCACACACTCTTGGAAGGTGTCGTTTTTGCTGCTATTGTAAATTCCGTTTCTCTGTTTTTGCCTTTGCTTTGTTTTTGTATCGCCCCCCACTCCCCTTTTGTGTTTGTTTTGGGCTCTCGCCTTGAAATAGAGATTTTTCAAATCTATTAATAATTCAAAGGCGCAAACCCCAAAGCGACAAACGATTCGATATGACTCTCGCCACCCCAGCCGAAGCAGCAGCAGTGGCAGCAGCTGTGAATGCAATTCAAATGCGGAAACATGTGCGAAGAGGGGTCGGGCCGCGGGAATGGGAACTGAGCTCCAGTTAAGCCAGCAGGCGCCAGTCTTGCCTCTCGGCTGGAGAGAGGAGATGGAGCTGGCCACTGAGGCCGTCGCTGGGGCCAATTAAGAGTGCGGCTATCCCCAAGAGAGCCCAAGAGGAAGAGCGTGCGAGTGAGTGGCGAGATGTGTGAGAGGGATGGGAACGTAGAACGACCAACGAGCAGAAGGAGGCGCCCACACAGAGATTTATGGTTTCTTTTTGCTCAGCATCTTCCCATTGGGCGGCAGGGCATGCTGGGTTCATCGATTGGCTCAGTCATGCATTCATCATCGTAAACAGGGTATCCTCCCTGCCGAGCGGATAGAATCCGAATCCTGCACAGCCCACGCGGCTTTGTCCAAGAATTCTCTTTGAAAAGTCATAGGCTGCTGCTGAATGGTGTCGGGTCCGAGGCCTCTTTGCATATTTCATATTTCATCCATGGCCATTTGGTCGGCCAAAGGGGCTCAAGGCTCTTTGGGTAATTTGCAGTTCTGGCTTTCAGACGATGGATGGCATTATTAAAATATTCATAGAGCCAGAGCCATAGGGTCCTTCTCCCTCCGGGGTGGGGGGCCCATGCCAAGTTTAATTTATTTTGTGCGACAAACGCGACGAGTGTCCGCGAATGCCAGGCGACGGCGTCTCTGCGCCAAAAAAAAGTCACTCACACATGCACAGAAGTTCCATTTATAAACAGAAGGAGGTGGGAATGAGAACTGGAATTGTAATCGGAATGCGTGGGATATTCCTGCATTTGGACCCAGTTCTAATTGAGTAACGCCAGATGGGTCCAGCGGAGCAGAGCAGGGGAAAGGGGCATCGAAATGTGCAACGTCTGCGGGAAAAGCTGTTTTCCAACGAAACTTTGCAATTAAAATACTCCACAGCTGGACAACATTCAGAGTAGGTCAGCGTTTTTGTCGGTCTGCCGCAAATAATTCTCCTTCCTCTCTCTTTTGAATGCTCTCTGGCGTTGGGAGAGTGTTTGTGTTTGTTGTTTTTGCTTTTTCTTTGGAAGCTGGAAGTAAGGCACTGCCATTCATGGTCTCAGCGATAGAGAAGGGAAGTGGTACAAAAGATCGTTCTCTCTCTCTGTCCTTATGGGAGATTATTTAGCTCCATCTCGCTTCGTCTAGCTGGTGTTTGCTTATCGCGCGACCTTGGAATGTAATTTCCCTGCAAGTTCTTGACCGTGGGACTCGACTCGACTCGAATCGACTCCCCTTTTGACCGCTGAGTGCAAATGTACGTGCTGGGCGGGACGTTTGTGAGCTGAGCCTTGGATCACTTAGAGAGTGTTTGTCTAGTCGAGGCCGTTTGTTCGAGTGAAGGAGAAACAATATCAAAGCTGGAAGCAATTTTCATTTATTTACACACGCTCGCACATCTGTCATGACTTTGGAGGAGCTCAATTCTCATGCTCAGGCTTTTGTTGTCTCGCTCGGGGTTCGGTCCCGGTGGAAACGTGATAGAAGGAGATGGAAAGGGCGGCATTGCCTTGTGTGTCACTTGGCTGCGGTTTGAAATTGAAACCTGGAGGTATTTTAAGCTCTGGATGTGCTCTTTCGCTCTTTGTCTGTGTGTGTGTGTGTTTTATTTGTAATCAGATTCGTTCCGGAGACAAAGATTGACTTTCATTGTGATCCAGGGTGGTGTCACCACCCACCAGCACCACCATCAAGCTGTCTCGTTCCAGATGATTCATCGATACCAGGCGGAAGAACCGCCGCTGGAGGTCG